AGCACACTACATGGTCTGATCACTCATCATGACGTCTTCTCGATAATACAAACACTAGTTCACCAGTACTCTACTTTCAGAATCAATACAGAAAAGACAGGATGAAACTGTCAACCCTCTTGACAATGTAGAACGAAATTATAGTTGAGAGAAGTCTTTCCAGAAAGTGGAATTAGTTAAAGAGGACAAAGTGGCAGAAAGAAAGTACCTCATCATGTCAAGAGAAAGTTGTAAGATGCTGAAAGTTTGTAGGATATGAAATAAAGAAACAAATACATGACTTAAGGTTTCTAAAACGACCAGAGGAATGGAATTTATATAATTGGAATGCTAGGATGGGACAGTTGGGGAAGAGCATAATGTGAGCTTAATCACATCTTCCATCCCAAAGACTCAACAGACTGAATCTACCGACAAATTAAAAAACAGATGTTTAAATATATTATCTGGAAGTATTCATGAAACAAGAACTAAAAACAAAGCAGTTAAAATTTTAAAAAAAGAAAAAGGCTACCTCTAGAGAGTGGAACCAGAATGGAAAGAGGATGGGCAAGAGACTGTTGTTTTTCTTCCTAACTCTTTGTACATTATTTGGGTTGTTACTAATTGTACATATTATTTTGATACAAGTTAACAATAAAATAAATTAAATTTTAAACTTATTGCCATTATTTCAGAAGAATAAGTATTTCATACAATGTCCAAATCTGGCATTTATTTTAGCTTTCTGTTCTTTTTAAACAAACTTTCATGGAAGTTGCTAAAATAGCAAAGCTCACATATACACTGGCTTCTCCAACGTTAATAACTTAACCAGAGTACACTTATCAAAACCAGCTACCAGTCTTGCTGCAATGCTAAGAGCTAAATTACAGATTTTGAATGTTACCAGTTTTTCCCAATATTTTTTCTACTCTAGGATCAAATCCAGGATGCTACACTGCATTGACTTGCTGCATCCCCTTAGTCTCCTCTTACTTTTGACAGTTCTTTCATCTTTCTTTAATTATCATGACTTTGACAATTCTGTATAATGTCTCTCAATTTGGGTTTGTCTGATGTTTTCTCATGATCACATTGAGATTATCCATCTTTGGCAAGAAGACCAAAGAAGTGACATTGTATCCTTCTTGGTGCATTATATTAGGGATGTATAATGTTTATATATCTTAGTACTGGTGATGTTAATCTTGATCACTAGGATAAAATAGTGACTGCCGGTCTTTCCAACTGTAAAATTACTATTTTCTCCTTTGTAATTGATAAACAGCTTTGGGGAAATACTTCAAGACTATGATATCCATTTTTTAAAATAACTGACAAATAAAGATTATATATATTCAAGTGAGCAATGTGATGATTTGATATATATTGTATAACGATTACCACAACCAAATTAACACATCCATCACATTCCATACTGTGCCTTAAATACCAGAGCCTGTTGATCCTATAACTGAGAATTTGCACCCTTTAACCAACATCTCCCCATTTCCCCACCTGCTAACCCCAGAGAACCACGGTCCTACTCTCTGCTTCTATGAATTTGACTTTCTTAGATTACACACGTGAGACCATACAATACTTGTCTTTCTGTTATAACATTCATTTTTGATAAGTTATATGTACTTACAGTTATTATCTTTTAGAGATGCATAGTGAAGTATTTCTGGATGAAATCAGAACGTCTGGTAATTGCTTCAATATCATACCGACATGTGGGAAGTACGTTTGGGTATAGATGGAACAATATTGCTCAAGAGCTGGTAATTCATGGGATTCATTTTACTAATCATTTTTTGTGTGTCTTTAAATTTTTCCATGGTAAAAGTTTTAAAAAATTAGAACCCAAACAAATAAATAGAACTCCATGCACATATGTACCAAAAGATAACACAAATTTATCCCTTCAGGTATCTTGATCAGAAAACACTATTATGCTTAAATGTTCATTTTCTAATTTGAGCCTTTTTTTTTTTTTTTTTAAGCCAGGAAGCAGCTCCCAAGTTCGTTTTAGAGGTTTTGGCCAACAACATTTAAAATACAGGCATTGTGCGCCCTCTGGTGTATTCTTCTATAACATGAGTTTTGCATGGACAAGTTCAATAACAAAAAGCAGAGCATATTCAAAAAGGAAAAAAAAAAATTCCTTTTCTCACAAAAATTCTGCTTCTTCGTTAGTCAATAAAATATCTGCGAGTTACTTGGCTATGTACCAAAACCTCTCCAAGGCCAAAGATTATCAACCTTTTCCCACCTACTCTACTGTTTCTCAGAACATATGATGAAACCAAGGGAACAAAAAAGGACAGAAGGCTACGATCAAAACATTTTTAAGCAAACTTCATAAAGGCCAGATGAAAAAGGAAGCTAAAATCTATATTAATGGCTAATTTAGAAGCATCTCATTGTGTCTGCCCATAAAAATGGTTCCATTTCTATCCTTTAGAATCTTCTAACACTCAGAAATCATGCTCCACTCTCACTCAGGTCAAGATTTGGTTCAAGTTTTGCAGATCTCCCAATGTGTTATTTTCTTAGGATTTAGGAAAATTCCTAGAGGACTATCAGTGAATTTACCCAAAAGACACAAGCAGAAAGCAAAGTGTAACAAGAATCACAGGCCTTGGAATTACATAGACTTGACCTCCAATTCCAATCCTGAAACCTCCTAGTTGTATTACTTAATTTTTCTAAGCCTCCACTTATGATCTGTATAAACAGGCTAATGTCTTACAGTTTAAGGATTAGGAAAATATATGTAAAGTTAACCATCATAATTAGTATTCAAACTTTAACTACTTTCATTATGTGATCCTGATCTGTAGCCAGGTATTCAAACCCACAGAAAAACATTTTAGCTTCCTTTAAATGATTCCAATTGCTATTTTTGAATAACCCATCTAAAATGCTAGATTTGACTTCAAATTTAGTTTTCTTACGTATATAGTTTCTTAATACTCCATATAAGATGGTGTTTATTCACACAATAAGACAGTATACAGTACTGAGAGCATCAAGGGTAACTCTTGACCCACATGATATTCACTGGAGATAATTTCCAAATACCTGATGAAGGATCATCTTAAGTTGTTTTATTATTTTCATATGTAATTTCAAAAACTGTTTTGCATATATGAAATATTTACAGGAGTAACTAGAAATGACAAAATTAAAATAACAGCTATTTGTAGTCAGCAGGAAATACGGTAAGACAAGAAAATTAACCTCAATGGAAATACAGAGAGTTTATTTGGCAGAAAACCATTAACTCTCCTAGGAATTAAGTGAGAACTCCATAATCCTTGTCAAATGTGTCTGGAGATGTTAAGCATTTAAGCACTTAAAACTGGTCTGCTTTTGAGAAGCAAGTAGATTAGGTCACTGGTTTGTTTGTTAAGTATTTTCTGAGGGTGCCATGTGTCAGACACTCTTCTAGGTTTTAGATTAATAATAGGAAACAAAACAGAAGGCATCTGCCCTCCTGATGCATACATTCTAGTGGAGGGACAACAGCCATAATTAGTTTTGAACAAGAAACGAAGGTAATTTCTAACATCAGTGGGCTAGGTCTATTTTAGCTGGAGTGATCACAGGAGATCCTTCTGAGAAGAGGGTGGGCATGTGAACTAACACCTAGACAAGGGAAAATCACAGAAACGTGATAACATGCATTTAAAAGCCACAGTTCTTCATGAACACTTCCATCAACACAGATTCCTTACAGTTATTTCCTCTACTTAATTTATTTTTAATATCATGTAGGCTTCCAGTTGCTGACAACTTATTCTCCCCAAACTCCTGGCACTAATGCCTATGTAAAGGCTTAAAGACTACAGACAGATATAAATGTGGATTATTCATTTTAAATATATATTTTCCTCCCCAGAAGAATGTATGTGTTTATAAAATGAAAAATATACAGCTCACCATAAAGGTTAAGTTCATGGATTCTGGAGTCCTCTATCTCTCCCTTACTGGTTATGAGACCCTCGGCCAACCACAAACTAACTAAGCTTTAGTTTCTGCCAAGTAAGGATCGTGTTTCGGGCTACTGTGAGGATTATGAGAAATAACGTATGTAAAGAACTTAGCACAGTGACTGAAACATTGTAAAGTACTTGGGAAACGTCAACGTCATTTTATTTCCATCTAAAATGACACATATTTTTAGGTGTTCACATATGAATATATCAATACAGGAAGTATTCTGAGATTTCAACTTTAAAATCAAAACTATATATAAAAGTAAATAACTTGGAATTAAATTTGTGTCCTCAAAATCATTTCAGTGAGACCACCAAATAATTTTTAAAGATGAGTTTCTACACTGGTGCCCAAAAGAACAAAGGCGGCAGAAAAAGAAAATGAACAGACATTTCCATTTACAGGGTAGAATGACAAAAATAAAAATAAAAAAAATAGTGGTACAGACAAGTACTCACGGATCTTAACAACACTGGATGCCCGCGTGTGGGCTGAAGCTAGAAACAGATAAAATGGTCTTCTTTCTGAAGAGACAGAAGTTGAGCAGGGTTTGAAGGGACAGGGTATGGCAGATCTGTGGGGTGACTTAGTAAGGGTAGTCCCACTGCCCCCACTCCACCCTTTGCCTGCCTTCATCTACTACATTGAAAAGCTACAAACTCAACTTCCCAATCCCCAGGCAACTCAGAAAGGCCCTGAGATACCTTCTGTCCCAGGAAAGTTTTTGTTTTGAGACAAACAAAAGGACAGATAAAGTTAGTACTGCCTCCTGCCCTTCCCCTTCTTCATGCCTGGAATGGAACTATGATGCCTGAAAGTAGAGCAGCCATTTTGTGACCATGAGTCAATTAGCCACAGCATTAAATTCAGCCAGGCAAAATGAAAAACACCGGATTCTCCTTGCCCTCATCTAACCAGTACACTTGCCTTAGAATGGTCATCTTCAGATTTCTTGATACAAAAGGGAAAAACAGAAAACTTCTTTGGTGAAACCACTGTAGTCAAATTTTCTGTTATTTGCAGCCTAAATGCAATCCAAATGGACTCACAAAGATGAAGAGAGAGGACATTTCACATGGGATGAAAACCACAAAGGAACAACAGAGAGCTACTTCAACACTATGGTTTATAATCACTACGTTTAAATAAAGAATTAAGAGATAATTTCCACTTGTATCCAATAGCTTTCAATGTGTTTACAGTGAGGTATCCTATTACTGCATTTACATCCCAGTAAGCCATATACGCAGGAACTGGTGCCCTTTCAGGACAACACAGCCAACGTGCAACAATGAAAATATGTAGCATTTTCAAATCACTTCACAGCGTAAATGAAATTTGTCCAAGGAATGAAAAAAGTAAATAGCAGCTGCTTTCATGTAAACGAAACATGAGAAAATATGCACTGAAGGGCTAGAGTAATACTTCCACATGAAGATAATTTCACTCAATTGTTCTTCCTAAAAATGTTTGCTTATTTAAGAGATGATGAAAAACTAGAGGTTAAAGTCCAGGTTTGAGGAGTAATGATTTTAGTTTCTTGAATTAAAGAATGAACTGAATGAACTAGCACTCATTTTTCAAAGAACATCTCTACAGTGAAGTTATAATAATGTAAATGCAATTAAGTGACTCATTTTATAAACCTCTATGATAAAAGAGGAAATTTCATTTTCATTTGTTTAATATTTCCATCAGTACGAATGTCTCATTACACATTTACTGAAAGCCTGAATAATAAAACAATGGACAAATTCCAAGAGCAAACAGGGATTTTTTTTCTTTTCCCATGAAGCTAGCATTATGGAATTTTAACAGATGTTCCATTTGGTCATAGTTAATAAAATGAATTATGTAGGATTAAAATAGGGTTCAATATGTTTGCATTGGATTTTAACTGAAAAACAATTTCACATTAGAAGTTTGGAAAGACTTTGCATCACTTTTTTTCCTTTTCAGTAGACGTGCTAAGATGCAGAAAATAAATGAATAATTATAGCACTTACTACTTTCCCAATAAAACTAGACATAAAAATGAGCTTTTCAAGGTTTAAGATGACTGGGATCTTGGAAAAGTATATACCCGTTGGTATTTCATCACCCATCCCATGCAAAGATCACAGTAATTGTAGTATATCAAAAGGCTGACTCACTACCCTACATAACTCGTAGCCCCCTTAGAGCTCCCTCATGATCCTAAAATGATCAGGATGTCAGGTGGCATCTGAACAAAAATGAATCAAACTTAAAGCAGAAAAGGAAAACAAGTATTTACTGAGTGCTCACTGTGTAGAAGGGATTATGCTAGAGCCCGTGTATCCAACAAGCAGGTAAAAACCCAGTAGCTATTTTCAGAAGGACTTAAATGCTATCTGGAAAGATAAGACACAACCCAACTATAAGGACAAACCAAAACAGAATGAGGTAAATCAGAGAAAACAATTTCACACAAGCATACACAGAGACAGATACACCACACTGATACAAGGAGTGGGAAAATTCTCCCTCATCAGATAGGACTAATGTTTTTCTCTTGTACTATCAGAAGCAGGAAATAGTACATAGAGCCATAAGGACAGTAAAGATGCAATAGAAGTTCTAGCGATAGTTGCTTGGCAACATTTTTCAGTGGAAAACATCCAAATGGTGTAATCTCCCTAAGAAAGCCAAAAATGAACAATCATAGAATTTTCCCAACCCACTTCCATTGGGAATCCTGATCAGTTCAATCATCAATTAGGATAACTTCATTATACCAATATGCTGCTTTTCCTACAGAAGTAGCCAGTGAATATAAAATCAACTACAGGTTGCAATTTATTACAATTATAGAGATGCCTCTCTATAAGACATTTGGATAAAACACTCTCATTATCGCTGAAGAGCTTTAGGAGCAGTAACAGTTGTCTGGCCTCTTATTCAAACACAGCAATTGTTAGTCATCAACATGTCTAAATGCAGACAGATCAAGGCTGCATCCCTGTTAAAGAACTAACAACCTAAAGGCAGGTTTAATTTCTGAATATCCAAGCAGGCAACACTGCTATTATGATAGCCACCTTGTAGAACTGCATAAAGGTATCAATGAGGAAACTTTATGTAACGTTCCTAGCACAAACGGGCAAACCTGGACACAAATTAAGTAAACTTGTGAGGAGCAGATGGGCTGCTAAGGATCAGAGCTGGATTCCATACTTAGGTGTTGTATCAGTCCATTCTCACACTGCTATAGAGACCGGGTAATTTATAAAGGAAACAGGTTTGACTCACAGTTCACCTGGCTGGGGAGCCTTGGGCAACTTACAATCATGGCAGGCGGCAAAGGGGAAGCAAGGCATATCTTACATGGCAGCAGAAGAGACAGAGCACAAAGGGGGAACTCC